CAGCGTGCTTACCGTCCCTCTCCTAATATTTCTTTTTACTCTTACTCTTTTCATGTATTCAAATTATGTTTATACTTTTACCCGTTATCTTATATATGCTTGACAAATAATAAATAAATAAATAAATGTAATTTGTGCCATTGATTATGTATTTATCCTGCCTCTTCTCCCCCCTCCACTCCGCACAAATGGATATGTGTGTACAAGATGGGGCAGATGGAAGTGTTGAGTGGAAGACAAGCGAAAAACAAAAATAAAAATCAAACACATTCTTTTCTAAAGGATTAGTGGAAAGTGCATGTTAGCTGACAAACTCCCATCATTTCTGCTCATTGCATTTCATCACTGTTTTCAGGGCTGAAAATCTGTGGCTGTGCTGTGGTTCACTGGTGTTGCAATTCTTTTTGAACTGGCCTGTTTCATTCTTCACAGCTTCATAGTTTTTAAAATTCTTGAAGATTTTGACATAATTGTTGAATTATTTTTGTTTCTATTGTTTTGAATTAATTCTATGTTGTTTTTAAGGAATTCCACATTTTAATATGAAAAACTGTGTTATGATTTTATAAATATTTAAATTTAACAATTTCTGTAGAATTCATAGTCAAATAGGCCATTATCTCCTTTTAAAGAAACAGCTTTTCTTTCCTATTAGCATGTCCATGTTAATCAGATTTTATGTAACCATAATATGAAAAGTATTGAAGCATATTATTTGCTCTGAAATATAAAAAATAACAACAAATGAACTAAGTGTCCCTTCGTGTAAAGAATGCAGAATAAAATATTTAAAAACTGGCAGAAACTGAAGCAGTTTTCTAGCTGTCACTTAAGTTTTTATCTTATTAAAAAGGTGGGTAGAGGAGCAAAAATTTAAGATATAATTGCTGGTCATATATGAAAAACAATAGAATCTAATATAGTGCTTCTTTGGTGAAAAGGCATTACCACTTTGACTAGAAATGTTTATTTTACCCCAGAATTTCTTTTCTTTCCCCTTATACATTTTTTTTTCATTTTTGCAAAGTAATGGTCCTAAGCATTTCTGTCTTCCAGTACAGTATAATTTTCCCCTGTTGAATTGTTAATAGACTAAGCAACACCTTTTAGCAAACCTTTTTAGCATGTTAATTGAATAGAAAGAGGTTCAGCTATTGCCAGGCAATCTGCAAAATGAAGATAAAGTTCATGAATTGGAATTTATTAGACTTTACCAATATTAAACAGTCCTCAGTTTAAAAACATCGGGCAAACTTAGCATTAGATTGAGGGGTGCCATTATAGTCATGTTGTTTCCAAATAAACATAATTTGCCACAAAAACCATGGTGATGCCAAAATAATACAAGTAGTGACAACATCACTCAAATCGTGACACCTGAAAAGATACATATGTTGTGGTATTTGCATGATGATACCCTTCATGTTTCATCATTTGCTCCCCCTTACTGTTTCCTGCAGATGCCCTTAAAATACTGTTCGGGAAGACGTTAAGTAATTCACTTAAAAGTACAGGTAGAAACAAACTCTTTTGTCACCGTCCCCCAGCTATTCAATGTTACTGGATAATGAAATTATAGATGTTCCAGTCAGGACTTGTTCCACAACAGAGGTTCATCCACCTATTTCCCTGCAATTGGGTTACTGAAATGCACTGTGCATAAGGCTTCTCTTGAAAGTACTAGGGAATTACAATTATTTTAGTATTGACCACTATTATAACTGACAGATGGTATCATGCTACAATGTGGCTCATTTCATATGGGACATGAAGCCATTCTTGATCAGCATGTTGTGCAAATTTCTCTCGACAAGACAGGAGATAATGCAATTTATAACCAGACTATGGAATTATAAATAAAATTATCTTTCTACAGTACTCTGAGAATTGACAAAAGTTGAAATTACATAGACTTTACCAGATCACACAAATAAATAATATTAGTGCTATTTGCCTTTGAAGGAATAATCTAATGTTAACTCAGATTAGAATGCATACCTCTTTCTACAGAAATAGCCATTGTTCTTAGAACAAAGATCTCATGCATATGTATTTTTTTTTTACCTGCACTTCTCTTTCTCCTGGAAATTCCAATTTTAATCTGAGGTTCTGGGAAAATGAGTTGGTTGCCTTTTTCTCACCCTAACAAGTACCAAACCTGGATGAGATTTATTTGTTCAGATTCCCTTTACAGCTTTGACAATATTTAGTGGCAAAAATATGCAAGCATGCTGGAAAACAAATGTGAGGCTCTAGTGGTAAGGAGAAAAGTGGGCATCTTAATCCTGACTCCCATAAATTCTCAAGCTTTTATACATTCTCTGGCCCATATTTCTGCCTTGGAAATTGTTTGATAGTTTTATGGCAGCCAACATCCATCTCTTTTCACAATACTTTTCTTTGGTGCTCTCCCTTTTATACCCTTGCAAGTGGGGCAGATAGAGAGCCTACAGCTTGTGTTAGCAAAAAATAGAACATCAAGACTGATAAAAGTGAAGAAAAGTTTACAATCATCTCTTACAAATGTACTGTGAGCTTGAGGTGTGTGCTAAAATAAACATGCTTCCCTTGCTTGGGACAGAGCAAAATAATAAAATTTATAAATTAAATATTATTTAAAATAAAAATAGGGACAACATAATTTTTCCCTTCCATTTTAGCAGTTTCCTATGAAAACCATCATTATTGAAGAACATAATCCTAGATAATTGTAGAGTGCTGTGCAAGTCACAGAAAATGCCTTAAAAAGACTAAAGTTATAAAAAAGAAATGTTCTTGAGAAAGACAATGTTTACTGCTTGCTCTTGTTTATAATACTCTAACAAGTTTCCAAAGTAACACCCCCCCCCCCCAGCATATACAATTCACTGGGCACACAGTACATAAAAAACAAGAGACAAATGCAGATACTAAAATCTCAAACATTATTTATTTATTTAATATCAAATTTATATACCGCCCTTCTCCCTGAGGACTCAGACCAGTGTACAGCCAAATAAAAACATAGACTACAAACATTAAAATACTATTAAAAAGATATATATAAATTTGGCCCCGTAATTAAAAAACAATGACAAACCAATTAAAAACATTTAAAAGTGTTAAGCCAGCCCGGCTTGCTGAAGAAAAGAATTAAAGCATTAAATGTGCAGACACACATTAAAATAAAGCATAAAATCCCATAACGGTGCTGAACTTGTTCCACTGTATCTTCCCAAACCATCCCTTGAATCAGATGTCCCTTTCTGATTCAATGTTACCTTGACTTGCTTTTAGCTCTTGTGTAATGTCCGAGTTTGAGTGTAATGGGGAGATGATAAAATTCATTTTGTCCCAGCCACCATTTCTTGCCGTTCTTTTACCCATTTGAGACTTTAATTTTAAAATGATTGCTTAAGGGTATGACTGAGGGAATTCCTTTATGTTTCTTTACTTGCGCATGAGTGGATTGGTTTTTATTGCTTGACCACTTGTTTTCAGTCATTATCAATGTACAAGTTAGTATTAAGTCTTCTGCCTACCTCACGGGGTTGATTCCATGTCTGGGAAGTACTGCCAATCTTGTAGACATTGTAGGAAGACAGCCATGTGTCAACCTATGGTACCAAAAATCAAAAATTGCATCTAGTGTCAAATGAGTTCTAGCTGCAGTTCATGATAGCTTATGCCAGTGATGACTAACCTTTTCTGGACCGAGTGCCCAAAGCACACGCACCCCCAAAATGCAATGAGGGGGCGCACCTCACATGCACCCCACCCTCGCGCATATGCGACAGAGACCCGAAGCCCAGCTGGCTGGCGGGAGGCACGCCCGGAAAACTATTTTTATTAGATGCTGTAGCAAATGTGTCAAAAGTCTTGCTATTTGACTGCAATCATCAGATTCATTAGATTAGCCATATGTGTTAAATATAATTTGTTTAAGAGTAAGTATGGGAACATTTTAAAAAGCAGATCGTAGGCAAGATTCACATAAAAAACCCAAGTATGGTTCTTGCCAAGCAATGTAACTTATAGTTTGTGGATTATAATAGTGTCAATCACTCAGCATTTTCTTTATTAAGAAAATCTAGAAGCCCATGTTAGCATTTACAATGGTATGGCAATAGTAACGAAGCACTTAGTTAAAACAATATGTGAAGTGGGGAACTCTGTTAGCATCATGTTATCTTCTCATTCCTTCTTTCTCAAAATCAAACTTTTTAAGAGATTGGTGTGCGATTAAAGTTAATGATTCAAGTCATTTGGCACCTAAGTTCATACAACACACTACAGAATTATTTGTGAACCATTATTGGTTTTTAATCATGGTGTGCCAATATGGTATATACAATATGGTGTACTTTTGTTTTGGGTTCATGCAACATAACCCAGAACACAAAGTACATCACATTTTATATAAAAATAACAAATTAGTTCCATGGCTGAGGAAGTAATTGAACCTAGGAAGCTTCATTTACGGGACAGTGAATCCAGCAGTGAGCTTACTTGTGTGAATCCAAAAAGCCCTGCTTGAAGAAACGGGAGAATTAACCATAGTAAATGCTGTCAAGGAGTATAGCCATTCTATCAGAGCAGAACCGGCTGCTTGGTATTAAGATCTCAACTGACTATCAAGTCTGTGTTTGGCAAATCCGGCTCTCTGTCCCACCCCCAACTGCTGCTCCCATCTTCCATGTTGATTAGCCGCAACCGCTGCCTTATTAACGAAGTAACCCTCTTTACCGAACTCCAGCCTCTTTGTTTAATTCGCCAACTGCGATTGCGCACACCCAAATAAACGGCCAGGTTTCACCCCCCGCATGCCCCCCCCCCCCCCCCCCCCCCCCTTTTCCCCCCCCCCCCTGCCCCCCCCCCCCCGGCCTCAATGATTTATCCCCGCGTCCGGGATTACACAACCCCTCCACGAAGACACGCAGCCTTTCAACCTGTTTACGTCATCCATTCGCGTCCGTAGGAGGCGGGTGGAAGGTTCCTGTTGCCAGGCTACGATCTATGTCATCTCCCTGCGCCGCCGTAGACGGGCCGTCCCTTCTTTTCCTCCTCCCTCCCACCGCTGGCTGTATGCGAGGGACGGCAAATAAGCGGCTCTGGACCACCGGGCGGACCGTCTCGTGGTTCCGCGTCCCTCTCTCTTCCCTCCCGAGACCGAAGCGGGCTCTCCGCGTCCTTCAGAATCCGTCCTGCGGAGTGAGCGGCGCCCGCACGGAGAATTAGTTACCCACATGCCTGGGTGCGGGGCGGGAGCGGCGCTGACCCTGGCCGTCCGGCGCCGCTTCCGCGCTCCGTCTGCCTGGTTGGGGCCCTAGCACCACCGGCGGCGGTAACTCGGGAGTGTATGAAAGCGAGAGCCGGTCTGGGGCCGCGGCCCGACCCTCTGGCCGCCTCCCCCTCCAAGGCCGGGGGTGGCCGGACCGGTCCCGGGGGAAGCGGCGGGTAGCGCTGTGGTGGAGGCGGCAGCGGCTGCTCCGCGGGAAGAGACTCCCGGCCCACCGCTGCTGCCCCCGCCGCCGCTGCTACTGACTTTCCCAGAAGGCTTGAGGCGACGAAAGCTTCGGTGACCAGTCCTGGAACGTCAAGCGGTGCCCGCCTCGGAAGCCCCCCGAGTGGAGGAGTCCCGCTCCTCTCGAACTTGCTGTCCAATCAGTCCTGTTGGCCGCTTCCTTCTCCTCCTTCTCCTCCTCCTCCTCCCCCTGTGGGGTGAAGAAGGGTGATCCCGGCCAATCTCTCCGCTTGGTCCCAGCTCCGCTTCGTTATCCCTGGAAAGCCGGTTGGACGCTGCTGCTGCTGCTGCTGTTGCTTTAAGCTTCCGAAGTGTGCAAGGCGAGTGGAACGGAGAATGAAGTTGGGGGGTGGGGGGGGGAGAGAGGGAGGTGGTGTGGGAGGGGGGGCTCATCTTAGCATCCTGGGGTCTCCAGGCCCGGTAGTTGGGTGATGCACGTGGTGCTCCCCCCCCCCTTCGCTCCCCTCCTCCTCCTCCTCCGCCCGGTGTCGCATGAGAGAAGGGATGGGAAGGATGCCGGAGAGAATGGCTGGGCTCTTATCCTGAATGGCTCCTGGTGGGAATATAAAGGGCAGCCGCTGTCCCTTGTTTCATATGCGCCTCACGTTGCAGGACTGTCTGCATGGTCTGCTGCGCTCGGTGACCCACCCTGTTAACTACGGTGGGGAGTTCTCCCTCAGGGTCAGCCAAAAAAGAAAAGAAAAGGGGGAAAAAAAAGCGTTTGGTACATTTTTGAGGGAACTTTAAATGCCTTTGTTGAACCACTAATGAGAGAAGAGAAAGGTTTGAGAGGGCCAGTTAAGAAACTCCGACTGTTTTCTTTTTCTTCTTCTTCTTCTTTCCCTAGAAACAAAGTACTGTAGTTTTAAGTACACTGATCTCTTGCACCATGGAGGCAATGATTCGACTATAGTGGGTGATGAGAAGTATTCTGGTTTAGCATTTTACCTTTAATAGCGTAAGCTTTATTTATCCAGAATGGGTTCCACAGTTGTAATAAAACTAAAGTGCATTTAAATATATTCTGTCAACACAATGGGCAACACCATTTAATATTAAAACAGTGTGTTATGAAATAAAGTTATCAGCAGTTATAGTATTCTGATTTTAATGTTGCTTAAAAGTTGGGGATTCCTTGTATTTGAGGAATCAAACATACAATGCAATGAGTCTTGCATTCCTATATTGCAAAGTTTCAAATTCTATTTTAAAGTACGTTATGTTGCTTCAAAATCCCATATATTGTCTCAAACAATGAAAATGTGTATAATGCCTACTGGTACATTTGTTGGAGAATTAGATCTCTATTTACTGTAATCTTGTTCACCAGATGCATAGAATATTATTCTGAAAGAAAACCATATTTGTGTGTATGATTTATTGTATATAAATTGTTTGTATAATAGACTACCAAACATAAATGTTTATTTTGCTAAGATTAAACTCCATGTGTGATGAAATGAGCCTTAATTATCAAAAATTATCCCATAATACATTTGCTGGTTTTAAGGATGACAGAGGACTTTGCTTTTGTTTCAACTAACACGATGATCTTCTCAAAACATACCTATGAAGTATTTGGTGTATACTTTTGATTATATGTATAGTATGTGAAGACTCAGGTAATGGAAGGGCAGACAAAAACAACTGTGACTATATATTTACTTCTCACTAATTGCTATTAAATTCAGTGGGAAATGTCTCTGAATATATTATTTTTTCTGCATAGCATTTTACAAATATACTATTTTCTGTGCACTGATTTTAAATGAACGTAGGCATTTACATCAAAGCAAGCATAGTTTCATTCACATAATTAAATAAGGCCTAGTTTGCTTATCCATGATTTATTAAATCACAATTGTATGAGTTTGCAATGCATATGAAAACATAAGGGGTTTGTACAGTATACTGAGTCAAAATAAAACCACATTGGGTGGAAGTTGAGTCATGGCAACTGTACTTCTTTTCCTTTTTAATTTGAAATATTTCACTACTTATCCAGTAGTGTCTTATTTAGTATTACAATGGTAGTTCAAATATAATTTGGTTATAAAAATTAGTTTTTAAACTTTATTGAGATAAATTATTGATAGAGAATGGAAAGGGCTTGAGTAAAAATGATTTTTTTAAAATTCTACACGGTCTACACAATAGTTTATTTTTATATTTTTATATTTTCTATTTAGAAAGGTTAAGCCTTAAATTAGGATATATGTAAGAATGAATTGGTTTACTCTGGAAGGAATAACAGGTTACGGCCTCTTCTGTCATCTCTTTATTATACATGCAATCCTAAAAGAGTACCTTAGATAATAAATTTTACTGGATTTAAAAGAATATGCTTCTGAACAAACATTGTTTGAATGATTGGGTAATTGCCAATCTTGCATCAGAAAATAATGGAAATGAGTGTATTACAGTTTTTATAAAGTACATAAATTACTTTTATTGCAGTCTTAATGTTAAAGACTGATAGTGAAATATTTACATATTACGTCCAGGAAACTATGAAATAGATGCTTTTCCCAGATCCTTCTGATTAGTTCTAATTAGTTTTATTTTTTTTTTTACTTGATCTGAATTTGTCCTTGTTTTCAGAGGTTACAGACCAGCTTGCCTTTTTGATTTGACTATTAAGTTATTATGAATATTACTTGGCATATCCCTGTTTTACCTACCCTGGTTCAAGATAACAATATTAATTTCTTATATTAAGTTTTATGAGTTTATCTGAAGAATAAGGGCAAGATTAATTCTTACACTTGGGGCAATTATCCTTTTTACTTCTCTGTTATCTTGTTCTCTCCTAAAATCTGCTCTGTATGGTCTTTCAAACCTCTGAAAGTAGACGTTATCTATGATGTTATCTATGTTATCTATGAGTAACATAGAAGGAAGGATACTGTCCCTCTCCCTTTCACTAATGAATTCAAAATAATAAATATATGTTAAAAATATTTTTAATTGGCTAGGTAGTTATTAATCAGACAATTTGAATACTTTATGTGTAAGAATGGGAGAAAATGTGCATTCACATATACAATATAGAAAATAAGTGAAAAGGTGCCTCTGAGATGTTTATGTAATTATGTGGACTCATCCTCCTTGTTTAAACAAAGCAAATGCAATCATTTTAAAGCAGAATTATTCCCTAAGGATTCAAAAAGTACACAAAAAGTACAATTTAGAAATAAATTATATCAAGTTTTTAAAATGTAAGCTTTCTTACTGTGTGCTCTGATCTACCAGTCTTAAAATAACTTTGAAGACATTTAATGAGAAATCAAGTCCAATAGTAAAAGAACACTGAATAATTTTACTGCATGAAATTGACATAATTTTCAGGTATCTAAGTATGAGAATATACATACTAGTGTTCTACTTATTCATCTCTTTTTCTGAACTCACTAGATTCAGTGGTGAAAAAAAAATCAGTTCCTGATCACTATAAGAAGTAACGGAAACTATTTCACTTGCCAAATTTCTCACTGATATACACAAGATATTTCCTGAATGGATTTCAGCTTCACTTGAAGTGTATGAAAGTCCAAGTAAAGTACAACATGATTTCTAGCTTGTTATAAATGTTAATTGATGCTGGGGTTGTATAGCAAAAATTTCATATAACTATAATTAAAATCTGTATTATAATCATGCACAATAGGACAGAGTTCTAGTTTTCAGTTAGCATTTCACAAATTTGTCAGGGTGTTTTGATTACAATATACAAATTGTTTTGCTTTTTAACATTGTGTTGAAGATATAAAGAATGCTGGATATCTGAAAAGTGGTGTCCTTAGATAATAATACACTTATAAGCAATACATTGTATTTTTTGTAGATAGAAAGGTTGTAGATAGATTATCAGTGGGTTCAGGTTCTGAAATTGTTTTCATGTTAGTTTACTATGGGCAAAATCGTTTTATAATGTTTTCAAATTTGATAAATATCCTCAGTTATAAACAGACATAAGATCCTAATCTATCTTTGGTGATAAGCAACTTGAAGGTCTTTACATATGTAGCCTTCAGTTTGATAGTTTATATGAAAATACTATTTAAAATAATTGGTAGTTGTTCAAACTCAATGATTTTGAGGTAAGGAAAAGCTTTGAAAAACTGTTACTTGTATAGTAAAAATTAATACTGTGGATCATTTTCTATAATCAATATCTCCAACCTTGTGCCAACCAGATGTGACCATATAAGACAGTGATGACTAACCTTTTCGCTATCGCGTGCCAGGAAGGGGGTGGGGGTGGGGGGTTCACACGTGCATGTGCCCACACCCATAACTCTATACGCTCCACCCTGTGCATGCATGCATGACCCCCCTCCCCACCCGCTCCTGGCACACGATGGCCCGGTAGGCCCGTTTTTCTTTCTCACCTGGCTCCAGATCCTCTCTATGCATCTGGGGAGGGCAAAAACAGCCTTCCCCACCCCCTCGGAGGCCCTCCAGAGGCAGGAAACAGTCTGTTTCCCTACTTCTGGTGGGCCCAGAAGGCCCGAAAATCAGCTGGCCGGAGCTGAGCTGGCATGCCAGGCGACATGACTCCGCATGCCACCTGTGGCACGCGTGCCATAGGTTCACCATCACAGATATAGGATGTTAAGAACTGAATTTTTGACACATCAGGATGATTTCAAGTCTGAATAAAATTGTCTTAGTAGGATTGAAAATGACAAACATATTTTTTTATTTAGACAAATGAGTTTTAAACAAATATACCAATAGTATAAATAAATCATTTAGGTGTTCCTTACAAGTATACTGCATGTATAATAATGTTTCAGTATTAACTGCAATTGAGGCCAAGTTTGTATTTCAAAATAAGGAGCCCTGGTGGCGCAGCAGACTAAAGCACTATTAACATCAGCTGCCTGCAGTTACTGCAAGTTCAAATCTCACCAGGCTCAAGGTTGACTCAGCCTTCCATCCTTTCTAAGGTAGGTAAAATGAGGACCCAGATTGTGGGGGCAATAAGCTGACTTTGTATAAATATACAAAAGTATGAAGGCTATTGCTTAACGCATTGTAAGCCACCCTGAGTCTCCGGAGAAGGGCGGCATATAAATCAAATTAAAAAAAAATATATTTAATTGACCATTGATAATATTACTATAATACAAAGAATGCTTGGTATTTAAAAGTTATATTTTACCATTTTACTTATAGTTTCATTTTGCTGATTGTTGGTTTACCCCTAATAAACTAGAAATAGAATAAAACCTAGATTTTTAAACAGGCATATTAGTATTTAAAGTTATATTTTGGAACTGCATTTATAGAACACAATTTACTTTAATCTACTTAA